AACAATTCCAAGCTCGCGCATTGCCTCAAAGAACGACTCGTAGTGTTTCTTGTCAAACGCTGCAACTCCATTTGTCACTAACTTCGAGTGTGGGGAAACCATTAAAAACAATGATCTTCCTTTCCTCCCCTGTTTTCTTTGCTGGAAAGAAAGTCTTGCCACGACAAATACACCTTCCGCCATCTCCTTCGTAGAGAACAACCCCAATGACAAGGGAGGAATAAGACGGTACAGCAACCATCGACCTTGTAAGCTTAATGCTTCCATCAATTCCCACTATACCCCTGTCACCTCTCTGAAGCACTACTGTCTTCTTTTCTTCCTCTTCCGTTCGCCGTTTAACCGTTAGCAAACGAATCCTCGAGTAGAATATGCAAGTACGGGCAATGATGAAACACGAAAATCTGCTCACACCTTCACGCAAAATCTTTACACTCACAGTAGCCCACGCTCCGTAATACATGCTGTAATACGCGTCCATTAACACAGGATAGCATTCTCGATCACCAACCAGTGATCTCCTGATGACGGGCCCACCGTACTTGCAAAGGACCTTAATATCATGGGCCTTACTCTCGTGGGGCCTCAAAACCAAAGCATCCGATCTGCAAATACCTTCGCCTGCAAACAGGTTGTTTCTGTTGACGATTTGGCCGTGAACATATATATCCTCGTCATCAATCTTCAAAGCAAATGACAAATAAATAACTCTGGTCTTCGTATAAAGGGGGTCGGGCTTCGGGGCCTGTTAGGGGAAGAAGAACTACTTCTTTGGGGTTAAGATTGATGGTATGAGCTTGTAAATGACCCACTCTGTAATAAGAAATTGGGTCAGGTTTTTCGAGCTCAAACTGCAGTGGCTGCACTGTTGCAATCTCGCCATAAATTCGGCTATTAATCAAGGGATCGCTACGGATTTTTTCATTCAATTTCAGCCTAACCTTGAACAATTCAAAAATGAGTGCGGTTCCACTTACATGAAGCGCACCATGAACGGGAAAAAACCCATATGAAGCCCAAATGGGGTTCCAGCCTAAGACTAATTGGTGGAAGGAGGAGTAGCTCATTAGACTTATAAACAGTGTGGGACAACCCACAAGTGATATTCTAACAATCCACATGTCATAATCACTAATGGCAGTTAAAAATGCTTTCAGGTAGCGAAATATTTTGAGGAATTAATAGCAAAGCATATCTGTAAACGGGGTGTATAAAAAAGAGCAAACCTTGCAACTGAAATTAAGTAACTTTGATAATCAGTCGAATTTTGAAAACTGCCTCTGTAGAACTATCCCAGCCATAATTATGCAAGTGTCTACAAATTCAAGTGATTGAGAATATAGCAATAAATTGCAACAAAAAATTTATGGAACCATCACATGGTTTTCTTATGGAGCCATCCACCACTTAATGTACTGACACGTGTCAATACACTATTGGTGAATAAATGTGGATAACTTCATAAGTCGAGTCATCCGATGATTCCATAGCAATGCTATAAATTGCACATGGCTAGCTAACAATTCTCAAATAAAAACTTGTCCATCAACTCCTGATTAACAATCAACTTAGCTTAAGAAACAAGACTTAGATATGGTAAGATAAAATTCCATTAAAATGTTCAATGGAAGGCCTTCATGTAGGGGGAATGAGATCAAGGGAGTGGGAGGGAGAGAGTTTAAATTTATTTGATAATCAATTAATTACACATTGAAAGAATACATGGAAACAAATTTGGGAATTACTAGTACAAATTTATTGTTATATAAACAATAAATAAATTATACCTGGGATGAAAAAAAATATGTCCCACAAGTGTTTGCAGATCTTCACAGACTAGACGTCCACATGCGATGAAAAAGCATACATATATGTGTGCGTGTATAGATTCATGAGCAATATAAACT